CCAGCAAGCGTGTGGCGAATGCAAGTTCCTCCACCCAGGCCTCAGTAATACAAGGACTAGATTGGAACTACTGATTCCCAAGAATTATTATCATTTTAAAAAGCTGATACAGTTAAATCATCTGCCATATTTCAGCAATGTGGAATATGATCTATGACCCCTATGCGGTAATAGAGGACTTTCAGCACTTGTTACCAATTTCATTCTCACCTGATTTTTACTGAAAGATAAAAGAGCTGCTCATAAGAAGCCAGTAAATATTTACAGATTAATTGTGCCTAATAGTTTTGATTCAGGAACATTCTCTCTGCAGTATACATGAATTACTCTACAAAGAACTGTAGTCTGGTTAGAGGACACAGGCACAAAAGCCTTGAACACAGCTATTCTGCTTATATCCTGGAAGGAGGGAAAGTACCTGCTCAGCCATTTTAATTATGGCTCCTGATTTGGAGTCTCATAGATTTGGAATTTTGGGCTGTATGAACACCTTTAGAACACTCCAGGATGACACAATGATAACGTTCAAATCCAAGAGATACTGTAAGTGCATTCAATTATGGGTGATATTCAGTAGCCCAACCTTTTTCTCTACAATCATTGGCCAATTCATGCATTTTAATACCAGTGAAAAAGGGAGAAGCAGCAATTTTGCAGTGCCAGATTCTCTACCAAAGGGGGAAAAAAATAGTCTCTCCAATTCTTCTTTAAAATCACAGGAAGTCACCAGGACAGGCTTGTGGTCTGGGTTAAGAAGGATGATGGCACTGGAAAAATTTGCAGATTGATGAAAGTCAGAACTTTTCAAGGTAATTATGGAAATCAGTCTAAGCTTACTGGAATAACTTGGTACAGCCATTACTTCAAAAATACAAGAGATTTGATTTGGTTATCTCAATGAGTTGAGTGGTCATGGGCTTTGATCAGCATATATTAAGTTATAGCTGTTATACACATTCTGCTGCTTCTTTGGTAGAGAAAAAAGCCTAACCTGTTTTTGTTCCACACTCCATTCTTCCAAAGCACAAATTTAATTCCATGCTCTTCTAAACTGGGCAGATGCCTCAAAGTCAGGTTGCAAAAACAAAAGATGATGCCACAAAATTTAGTCATTAGATAACTCCAGGTAATCAGAATAGATTTGAGAGCCAAAGAAATTCCCGAGCATCTATTCCATTGGGTATCCATTTCACATAATTAAGGTATGATTTCTGTTACTATCTAGGAAGAAACCAGGAGGAGTAGAAGAGGGGTTAGAGTTAAGCTTAGGGTTGAGCAGAAGAGACAGACTCAAAAGAACATGGAAAATGGTGGCCCAATAAATGTCAGTGTTTTGTCAAAAGCACTAGCAAAATATATGACTACACATACTATTTATTGTAAAACAAATATTGAGTTTGTTCAACAATTACAATAGGTTTTCTGAACAGACATAGAAAAATGGCTGAAACATAAGTTGCTTTGTTCTGTGTTTATGGACAGAAGTACAGAATTATTGAGACATGAACAATTTAAATCATTACCAGTTTTGGTCTTAATGGAATGTTTGCTTATGAATAAAAGCAAGGGAGTCCCTGTGTCGAATACATATATATGATGCAAACATAAATGAAAATGTGTCTTATCATGTTTCTACTTGTCAAGGCACTTTATGTCATCCATAAATGTTAATTGCTCAACTGAGAGCTGTGACAGAGAGGCTTGATTTGAAGCAACTTGAATTCAAGACACATACAGCCATCTTTGAGCTTGCCTTGGCTCAAAGGAAGGCCTTCACCCACCTCCACCTTTTGCAGGTGGCGTTGATAGGGTCCTGCCCTTGGCCTGCTCTGTGCGGCCTGGAACTCTTTCTCAGAGCAAGCAGGATTTTCTTTCAGGTAGGAGAGAAATTGACAGGAGGATCAGAAGGTGGCAAATGTGGGGGGCATTAGGTTGCATGAATTGTTTTTCTGAATACTGAAGCAGCCCAGCTGAGTTTGTGCATGATTCTTCATCTCTAACTCCCCCTCTTTTCCTGTCTATATGCCTGTTTTAATCACAGCATTGATTTTGGAATTCTATAATGTGTTAATACATTACAAATGATATTATGCATTAGGTAGCTGTTGACCTCCACAACAATTTTATAAAATTGGATGGGTTATTTTTTTTAAAACAAATGGATATTTTTGGTTACATTTATATCTTGCTTTTTGCTCAGGAGTCCAATCTTCATTTTTAAAAACTTGTACAAATTAAATCTTACTCAGGAAACACATTAAGGAACACTTCCCCAAGTGTTATAGCAGAAGAGAGAGGAACAATCTGGCATGATCAAAGTCCTGTATTACTTTCTGGATATTAATGTGCTCTAGCAAAGCATATCCAGCAGTAAATTGGGTTCTTCAATTGTCCTAGGTTACTGAAAAAAATCCATGAGTTTCAAGCAAATCCATGTTTCAAGCAATGGACATTGTGTAGGGAATGAAGATTCTCATATTCTCTATAGATCACTGTGTTTGCTTTCACTTTCATAGGAGATGACAGCTATGACTGAAAAATTGTCCACGAGATACTCAAAAGTAAAAAAAAAGTTCAAGTATCTCTTCTGTGGGTTAAAAGGAAACCCTGGTGACTCTTCAGGAGGAATATCCATTGATGACCTCACTCTGAGTGAAACTCTGTGCCCCAGTGCTGGGTGGCTTATCTTGAAATGTTGCCAGTATTCTTAAAACTGTCCCCCAGCAACTATGTTATTCGGAGTCCTTGTTTTTACAGCTGTGAAGATTATGGTTATGGTGTATCAGTATCTTTCAGAGGCCCAGGTGCTCTGTGCTTGAAAACGACACACGTATTTCTTTTCATTTGGCCAGTGGTAAAAATAGTGGAGTTCTTGAATGGCCAGCTCTACGCAGGCAAGTGACCATCACTGTGTTGGACCAAGATCCCAATATCAGGACAAGAATGTCCTCTGAAAGGAGTTTCACCACAGATTCAACTCAGGTTTTGCAAGGTATGTAACAAGGTATGTATGTAACAAAGTATGTATGTTCCTGAGTAGAAATTATTGGGGAAGCGAGAAGGCAGGGCTGATTCAATGGTTCTACCACTTGCCCCTGTACTGGCTGAAATGCTTAATTCACCTCAGGATCACATGCAATGTTCCAGAAGATGCTGAGAATAAAACTCCTTTGTCATCCACAAAGAAAAAAGTAATTATCTTTCTTATTGTGAGCATTATTATTTCCAAAATCTAAAATGTCAGTGAAAAGTTACACGTTGGTTTTAAAATAACTTCCTCCTTTCAATTCAGTGTTTCAGTAGAGATTTGATTTCAGTCTTCATCACTCCATGAAGCATCTTGTTTGTCATTTCTTATCATTTTGATGTAACTTTGACATATTGGTTTTGTGCTTTCATTTTAAATGTTTGAATGCAAGTTTTCATTTTATTTGTGACTGAAAATATCTGCTGCATTTCCTTGTATCACCTCTCTTTTTAAATTCAGATTCAACGCATCTTTTTCCACAAATGTGGCCCATCTGTGAGAATGATCCTCTGGAACGGAAGAGCTGAGCGGATCCAGCCAGCAAAATGAGTTGAACCCAAATCCCTGCCAGAACGATGGCATCTGTGAAAACATCAGAGGGAAAGCAAGTTGCAGGTACCCAAGATATTTTCTCTTGTTTCGTGCCATTATTTCACTTCTCATCTGTGAACTGTGTTGTGTGTTCAACACATAAGCCTATGAGAATCCTGTTGCAGGGACAACTTCATAAGCTATTTTGGGACATGGCATGTCTACGATATTTTTAGCACTTTTTCCTTTACATATCCACTCTTGGATATGATCCTTTTACTGGGGTGTGGTTCTGTGAAGTAAATGGAGTAATACATCCTCTTAAAGACAGGACCGTATAATACTGTCTCATTCCTTGACCATTGTATCGCTCCTAAATTCCGCTGAAGCTTTTTCTAAAAGCCAGATATGAGAAACATAGGCAGGTAATTCAATAAAGATTGAATGGTGCCATCAGTGATACTATACTTATTATTTTGAGCTGCCTCAAGTAAAAATAAATGCTATACATGCCGAGTATATAATCTAGCATCTGATATTGAGAAGCATTATGAAATCAAGCGCCTTCAACTTTTCACTTCTATTTTTCTTTTAGGGTTTTCCCCCCCTTATGTGTACTTTTAAACGACAAAGGGAACTTGTTGCAGATATTACACTGGTGGGTCCAGAATGTCAAGATATACATTTGTGTTTGGTTAAGTAGAGGTCTGAACTGCCTACAGAATGGATTTGTTTGATATGCTGCCATAAAGTAGATTATATGTGCTGATGACATGCGAAATATAATTCTAGTAGTTTTCACCAATTGGTTTGCAAGTGCAGTTTTTAGTTTTGTGTTTCTGAAGGAACAGTGAATGCTATGTCCATAAACATAATCCTCATCTAACATCCTTTTTAAAAATTGTAATGGAAAAGGAAAGAAAGATGCTGAGCAGTATACACAATAAAAAGCAACCCATAGACTAGGCATTCAGATTTCCTTGTAAAAACTGCCTCCCTTCCCTTTTAAAAATATTTTTATCCAGGTGTGCACCAAGCAAAATCTTCCTCTAGACCAGTGTTTCTCAACCTTGATAACTTTAAGAAGTGTGGACTTCAACTCCCAGAATTTCCTAGCCAGCATGCTGGCT